AAGCCACTCCCCATGATATTTGAAAAGTCATGGCAGTCAGGTGAAGTCCCCAGTGACTGGAAAAAGGGAAACATTGCACCCATTTCTCAAAAGGGTAGAAAGGAGGACCCTGGGAACTACCAACCTGTCAGCCTCACCTCTGTGCCTGGGAAGATCATGGAACAGATCCTCCTAGAAGCTATGCTAAGGCACATGGAGGACAGGGAGGTGGTTCGAGACAGCCAGCACGGCCTCACCAAGGGCAAGTCTTGCCTGACCAATGTAGTGGCCTTCTATGATGGAGTGACTGCATCAGTGGACAAGGGAAGAGCTACGGATGTCATCTATCTGGACTTCTGTAAGGCCTTTGACATGTTCCCCCACAACATCCTTCTTTCTAAACTGGAGAGACATGGATTCGATGAGTGGACTGTTCAGTGGATGAGGAATTGGCTGGGTGGTTGCATCCAGAGGGTTTTGGTCAACAGCTCAATGTCCAGATGGGAGATCAGTGACAAGTGGTGTCCCTCGGGGGTCTGTATTGGGACCAGTACTGTTTAATATCTTCATCAATGACATAGACAGTTTGCAGACAACACTAAGTTGAGTGGTGTGGTTGACATACCTGAGGGACAGGATGCCATCCAGAGGGACCTGGACCAGCTTGAGAAGTGGGCCCATGTGAACCTGATGAGGTTCAACAAGGCCAAGGGCAAGGTCCTGCACCTGGGTTAGGGCAATCCCCAGTATCAGTACCAGCTGGGGGATGAAGGGATTGAGAGCAGCCCTGAGGAGAAAGACTTGGGGGTACTGGTGGATGAAAAGCTGGACATGAGCCGGCAATGTGCTCTTGCAGCCCAGAAAGCCACCCATATCCTGGGCTGCATCAAAAGAAGCGTGGCCAGCAGGGCGAGGGAGGTGATTCTGCCCCTCTACTCAGCTCTGGTGAGAGCCCACCTGGAGTACTGCGTCCAGCTCTGGGGTCCTCAGCACAGGAAGGACATGGATGTGTTGGAGCGAGTCCAGAGGAGGGCCACAAAAACGATCAGAGGGATGGAACACCTCTGCTATGAGGAAAGGCTGAAAGAGCTGGGGTTGTTCAGCGTGGAGAAGAGAAGGCTGCAGAGAGACCTTATTGCGGCCTTTCAATACTAAACGGGGGCTTATAAGAAAGATGGGGACTAACTTTTTTCAGCAGGGCCTGTTGTGGTAGGACAAGGGTAATGGTTTTAAGCTAAAAGAGAGTAGACTTAGACTAGATATAAGGAAAAAAATTTGTACAATGAGGGTGGTGAAACACTGGAACAGGTTGCCCAGAGAGGTGGTAGATGCACCGCCCCTGGAAACATTCATTGGTCAGGCTGATGGGGCTCTGAACAACCTGATCTAGTTGAAGATGTCCCTGCTGATTGCAGGGGGTTTGGACTAGATGATCTTTAAAGGTCCCCTCCATCCCAAAACTTTCTATGATTCTATTTGTCATCGATTGGATTAATCTGAATTGATTTAAAGCATGTTGTATTAATTCTAAGCTGGCGAAAAACATTAAAAAATACATGTGCTATTTTGCATATTGGAAAACTAATGTTAAAATAGTGAAGGCATCATGAAGTGATTTATTCTTAGCAAGAATTGCAGCAAAACTATACTTAATGCACTGAGAGAATATTAGATTCTTATTTTTTTTAAGCCTGAAATTTCTGAATTGTGCAGAATATTTAAATAAATGCTACTTTGTTTATTCCCTTTCTTTGTGAATTCTTTTCTTTAATGTTTATCTTAAATTAAGTTTTGAGAATATTTTGTTCTCTTGAATGCTGTACTCTTGATTTATTTTCACTGTGTTTAGACCTGGTATTTGTAAATATAGTACTTGTAGTATAGTATATGTACCTGTTTGATCAACAAATCACTTTATTTTATAAAACATTTTGTACATAGGCAATATACTAAAAACTGGGGGGTTCTGAGTTAGTAATGTTTTTGCTAGAGAATTCATAAAACCTTAGAATGTAATGGTCCAAATCTACTTCAGTCAGTCTGTTTTCCACTTTGTTTAATAGCCTGTGGCATAAATTGAAGTTAATTATTTGGGCTGACAGGTAACTCTGCTTTCTGTCTGCTTGCAGAGACTCTCCGAGGCAAAGATGGAGCTGAGAAGAAAAGATCAATCTCTGCGTCAGCTCAATAGACTTCTTACCCAGCTGGAGCAGGACAAGCGTCGACTGAAAGAGAGCATCCATGATGCAGAGAGTGCCCTCTGCATGGCAGCGAAGTGAGCACTGGGACCTTGGGGAGATCACTTAAAACGGACAAAAGATCAATTCTTACTTTCATGCACAGGGTTTTAGCCCTGGCTAATGTAATGCTAGAAAACAAAAGTACATCTGTCTCTCTTTGAAATTCAGTGATAGTATTCTAAAAAGAAAACTGTTAGTTCAAGATACTAGATGGTATGTTTTCTGTAGTTATCCCATAATAGTGCTCCAAATTCTGGGTCCTGAAATAGCATGGGCATTTTTGTTTGCCAGTTGTCTTACTGATTTGACAGCATCTCTTTGGCAGATCTGTAATGCTCTGTGTGTTTAAGAAATGATTGCTTGTTTTCTCTATTTCCATGTCATCTTTTTATAGAGAGACACAATTTATTTATAATAAATACAGAAACGTCAGCTAGGTGACAGTTCTTAGCTACCACAGGGGTTGAAACCCATTTTGGACCTAGTCTTATCTGTGTAACAGGATAGATCTTTCAGCTGATCTCACAGAGTTTTGGATTTAGACATAAAACCTATGCCTTTTTAAACCATAACTTAGAGAGTGGAAGGAAATGTTCAGGGACCAATCTTGAAAAGATTGGTAGTCAAAAGGTGTTCCATTGACTTGAATGAGATTATTACTAACCTCTTAGAGTCAAATAGTCAGATAAAAAGATAAATCTTTGCAGCCTCTGTTACCTATTACTCTTATTGTAGTATGTACTTTGAATATTGTTGGTCCGTGGCTAAGATTTAAAAGAAGTTTAATTTAAAATTAAAATTTCTCATTATACCTGGGATACATTTGACCTTTGAAGAGCAATAGCTTAGAAGCTTTAAGGGTTTTATGCACAAACAAAATAATGTAATTAATATAGTTACCAGGGAAATGTTTAACAAGCTAATTAAAATGACAAATGTTATTTAGTGTGAGTGTATTAAAGCAGATGTGACCTGAAGAAGGATTTATTCGGGAAAGCTTGCCCCTTTTCACCCTGCCCCAGCCTATTTTACACACTCTAGTGAAGAACGTTCCCTGTGGCCCTTCTTATATTCAGAAAAGGTTATTTTAATGTGAAGTGGTTTTAAAATTGGTTTTGTTTCTTTATATAGCAGTTGAATATTGACAAAGAAAAAAAACCCATACCGTTTATTGTTCTACCAACTCTTCATAAGAAATGTCTTTTTTTTCTCTTAGATATATATATGCAAAGTATTTGAAATAGACCTGACTTTAATCTAGAAAATCTTATTTTAATACGTCTTCCATAACCTGAGTGATTGTAAGCAATGCGTGTATGTCTTTCAAGTTCTTTCCTAATCTTTTGTACAGCTTTAAAGGACAGCAAGATGGCTGGCTCATTCTGAGAATGGCTATCTTGATTTTCTTGCAATGGTGACCAGCAGTTCTGTTCCACTTCCCTCCAGAGTAGGAAGCAGTATTAATACAAGTGTCTGATAGCAGTGAACTTGATAGAAACTTAGTAGCCTTTTGGTCATTTCTCTGCTAGATAGAAATTCTCTATCAAACCTTTACCCCAGCTATTGTGTAAAAGATGATGTAAAGCATGCTCCTCATGCCTGAACTACATTTCTTTAGGATTATTATTCAGAATAGTTCTATGATCCAATTCCAATTTCCCTTACACCTGTAGGAGTTGATGAATATATGAAATAAAGATTGAATGAAATGTGTAATCATGTGTGTAGGGGTAGATTAATAGTTTAATTTTTTTAAACTTTTTTCCTAGGTGCTATAAACAAATATTACCAGACTTTTATTTTAAGATGTTATTTAAGATAATAAATCAACCATAGCCAGAGGGCTTTCTCTTAACAAAAATGAGAACCTGGGGACCACCTATTAACCTGGGTCCAAAATTCCATCTAAAGATACCTTCCTTTTTATCATAGAATCATAGAATTGTTTAGGCTGGAAAAGACCCTTAAGACCATCGAGTCCAGCCGTTAACCTAACACTGCCAAGTCCATCTATACCATGTCCTCGAGCACTGTATCTATCCGTTCTTTAAATACCTCCAGGGATGGAGACTCAACCACTGCCCTGGGCA